CGTCGAGTTGATATGAAGTGAGGGGAGACGCACAAGAATACCCAAATTTGCAGAAAGTATCCATTTGACCTAACTTTGATGACTTGATGATCAGAACTTGACTAGAGGTAGATATAAAAAAAATTTTTTTAATAAAGGAAACAAGTGTAAATTGCTACAATTTGAGGAACTTGACCTATACTTGTGGATGTAGTAGCTCAAAATACCAACTGAGAGGGAAGGAATCTTCACATCAATATCGATCCTTTCTGTATACAGGGTTGATAGGGATGGGCAACTTAGACATTGGCTACCTAAAATGGGGGGGGGGGAGCAATAAAGGCATGAAGTGACTGGCTTTCAAATTTTCAAGAGGAAGTTTAGTTTCAGAATGTGTGGGGGAAGGTAGAACCCCCACTGAATAGTATTTCATCTTATGTAGATGGGTCTGGTGAAAGGAGATGGGGATAAGATTCTTAAGATTCAAAAGTGAGTAATTATTATCATGACTAATTTTAATTGTCACAACTGTAAAGGTATTAATTTTGCAACAAAAAGGGGGGAGTGGTTAATCTTACAGTCCAGGAACAGAGGACCCTAGGACCATCAAGGGAGAAGAGCACCAGTGGAATGTGGGACCCTATCCAGAGAAGCAGCAACACCAGAGATGGAGGCAGAGATGAGGACCTGGAGAGATGGAGCAGCTGAGGACTCTGGACTTATGGAAAGAGAAAGACTGTGTGCTGACAGCTAGGAGGCAGCATGTGTCCTTGGGTTGTTTAAGTGATTATATATTCCTGAGTGTTTTTGTGTACATTTAAAAAAAAAAAAAAGAGGGTATAGAAGCAAGTATGGTTCCATGACAATGCACGGAGGGGATTGTAATCATTGCAATGAAATGAAATATGATAGGATGAGGGTAAAACCGATGTTTTCTCATGTAAACTATCACTCAATTCACAATAAAAACTAAAAAAAAAACACTTATCTGTTTTCAATCTCTCATTTTGAATCTCTGTAAATATACCTCTTATACCCAGTTCTATCTAGTTGCCATGGCTTGACCCTTACTCAGGGTAATCCCATGTGTGTCAGAGTTTTCAAATGGCTGAGTTTTCCAAGGTGCCTCTGGATGGACTTGAACTTCTAACCTTTAGACTAGCAGCAAGTGCATTAACCATTTGCCCCACCCAGACTCATTGAACCTCTATAGCTAATACTCCCTGAGCCTTTGGATATCAGATCCATCACTCTCAGTCCCTCCTGCTCCTGCCAAGTTACCCTCCATTTCTTGTGGAACACCAAGACTGGTCAATGCAACTTGGCCAGAGCAATTCTCCCTTTCTGCATAGCTGTGGTCCATTGCTGTCAGGCGCTGCTCAGCCCAAACCTGCTTTTCTGGATGCTTTTAATAGGCCCAGGCTGGAAGCCAGAAAAACTACCTTCTACCAGTTTCAGTAAGGTTCTACCAGCAACAACAGACTTCTGGAGTCTTGTAGTGGCCAGTGAGTGGGCTCCAATTCACAGTGGCCTTTTGTATACCAGAGCCAAATCTTACTCAATCCTGTACCATCGTGAATGAGTTGGAATATTTGAGCCCACTGTTCTGGCTACTGTTCAGTTAATCCATCTCATGAAGGGTTCCCTCATTTTTGCTGACCTATGAAACATGAGGTTCTTTTATAGGACTGGTCTTTTCTGGTGCATGTCCAATGTATGTCTGGTGTTTAGGAAACACATTCCACCCTTTGTTCACCCAGCCCCATGGATGGGTGCAGCCATCTGCCTTTAATCATCTTTAGAAACCTGGGTTTCCGTAGCCTTTCACTGACTTTGTAACCACTCCCCTGGATTAAATTCCCCTGCTTAAAGCAACTTTGAATAATAATAAAAAAAAATCACTGTTATCAGACTCATAGTAACTGTCTACGGTTCCAGAGTGGCGGGTAGGTTTGAATTGCTAAGTTTGTGGTTAGCAGTCCAGTGCCTATTCTACAGCGTCACACCAGAACCCCAAAGGAACCATGTTGGTAAGTTCGTCAAGTTGCTTGCGTCTCATAGCGACCCTGTATAGGGTTTCTGTGGAGTGGAGCTGGTGGGTATGAATCACTGACCTTGCAGTTAGCGACCCAGCGTTTATCCTACAGCGCCTTGATTTCCTGACTGGTCACTGACTAGCACATGGAGCAACAGCAGCAGAAAGACAGAGCCGGGAGGGACTGGGGCCTAGGAGATTGTCCCAAACTTGCTGCCTTCGAGGCAATTCTGACTCACAGAAACCCTATGTAGGGACAATTGTACATCCTTACAGGGGCAGTCTCATCCTTCCAGTACACCCCACACCACCCCAAACCGTTTTTTGATAAACATCAGTATATTAAACAATGTATCAAGTTGCCCTTTATTCATCTGTTGTCTTGTGCCATTAACCCTGACTTCTGACGCCCCCTTGTGTTATAGACTAGAACTGCTCCATCGGCTTTTCTTGGCTGGCATTATGGAAGCAGAAGGCCAGGCCTGACTCTTCCATGGTACCACTGAGTGGGCCCGAACTGCCAACCTCTAAACAGCGGAAGGCAAACCTTAAAACCATTCTTTGAAACGACACAGGGGTTGCAATTGAAGCAGCGCTACATCTACCTCCAGAACCAGGGTGAGCTGAGCAGGAGGCTCTAGTACAGCATGCTGAAGGCCGTCTCCTGGAGTTACCCTATGGCTGCGCTGTGTGACTCTAGGAGAGGGGCGTCTGGAATAGCGTTCTTTACTGGCTTCCTCTGGTTTTGAGATCTGTTACCGCAGCCTCATAAAGTGAGGTGAGCAGTTATGTCTCCTTTTCCTATTTTCTGGAACAACTTGTACAAGGTGGGAAGTAACTGGTAAACTCATTTGTAAAATGAGGTTTACATTTTTTTATTTTACATGTGAAGGGTCATTTGGGTTTTTCCTTGCTGTCTATTTTTCTTAAGCCAGTGTTGGCATGTTTCTTTCTAAAACAGCACTGTGCGATAATGCGCTGGACTGCAAGGTTGGTTTGAACCCAAAGGTCAGCTTCAAATTCACTGGCTGCTCCTTGGAAACCCTATAGTCGCTTAGTCAGAACTGATTCCATGGCACTTAACACCAACCACCACCTTCAGACAGGGCTCAAATACATCCATATACAGCATAGTTGTTTGCAGAGTTCCGATGACCTGTGACCTCCTAGATGTGTTTGCTGAGATCACGTGTGTTCTTGCCACAGACCATTTGTCATAACGCCCTGACTCTTGGGGAAGTAGGAATGTTACGTATACTGAAGGGGGGTGCTATGTGGTAGAGGAAGGTAACAGGAATATGTGGGCAAACCGGTGAGCCCCAGTCCCCAGTGCAAAGGACCCCCATCAGCCCATGAGGGTCCTCTGAAACTGCCACCTTAACCAACTCCAAAGCCCAGCCCCCCAGACCAAAGGATCCATCCACTACTGTCAACTCACTAGGGTCAAGCCTATCTTTTGAGCATGCGCCAGACAATCTGCATGCTTCCAGCACACCATAGATTTACAGACAGCGTGCAAACAGGCTTTTTGGCAAACTGGCTGTTTCCAGTGGTGGGGGAGTGCCCGTGCTGCTCCCATCTGGAGACAGAGGTGGGGCCTTAACCAGCTGCTTTGATCTTGAGTTGAGCTCTTCACATCTCACATGCTGTACGGTCCCTGTCTAAGTCTGACTGGAATCAAGGGGTGAGTTAGGTCTTCCGGCGCTGCGCATCAGCCCTGGACTGTGAACTACAAGGTCGGCAGCTCAAAACCACCAACTACTCCTTTGTTGTTGTTGTTGTTAAGTGCCGTTGAGTCTGTTCCGACCCATAGCGACCCTGAACAGGGTTCCCGAGGCTGTAAATCTTTACAGGAGCAGAAAGCCTCATCTTTCTCTCGTGGAGCAGCTGGTAGTTTCAAACTGCTGACCTTGCAGTTCGTAGCCCGATTTGTAACCACTACGCTACCTGAGCTCCTTAACTACTCCTTGGACACCCTATATAGGATTGCTATGATTCGGAACTGACTCGGTGGCACTTAACAACAACTCTGGCTCATTAGTTACGGGCTGTCATCGAGTCGATTCCAACTCCTGGCAGACCCACGTGTGACAGTGTAGACCTACATTTCACAGGGTTTTCAAGGGCCGAGTTCTTCCAAGGTGCCTCTGTGTGGACTTCAACCTCCACGTTGTCAGTTAGCAGCCTCACGTATTAACCACCGAATCATCCAAGGACTCCTGAATTCCTTAGCACGCATACATACACGCGCGCCAAAACCAAAAAATGTTTTAATTGTAAAACTACCTTGAGGGAGGGTGAGGGCGGGGCACTGAGGGGCCAGGAACCTGATTCTTCAGATGGTGGTTCTGGCCCCGATGCCACCCAGAAGGACAGGGGTTGTCTGTCCCCAAGCAGGGTCAGGGGCTAGTGTTATAAAATGGCAATATAAATAGATTTCTAGAAAACAGGGGGCTACCCGAGTGCAGTAGTCATTTCTGCAGTGGCAAGGGGATGGCCCCCTGGCCCCCATCTGTTCCAACAGGGTACACAGAGTAAAGGGAAAAGGCCACTCTTCAGACATTCATGATCGACCCCCACATGGCTCGGGGCGGGGGTGGGGTGGGGGGGTGCTGTATATTAGGCGAGGTCTGAGACACCCACTTGTGGGGCCATGCACACGCGCACGCTCACACACATGCAGTCTCTCGTAGTGTTCTCTCCCTGCTGCGGTTTCGCTGCAGGTTTCCAGTGATGGATGGCCCGTCCGTCCAGGAGACCGGGGAGGAGGGCCAGGGCCTGTCCTGGATTGAGATGGCCTGGAAGCCTCCTTGCTCCCACGAGTCCCTGGGTTTTCTTTAAAAGTCTCAGTTGGAGTTCAGTAGTAGGGCCCTGAGCCCTGGGAGGAGGGTGGCGCCACACGGAGTGTCTCCTCAGGGGAGGAGTGGGGGCCGGCCCCCTACTGGCCTCCGGTGGGGCTCTTTGGTTGAGGGGCAGGCGCGGGGCCTCATCTGGTGCGGTTCTGGCGCATGAGGGGCACGATGCTGGCGGGCGGCCCGGCCTTGGTCAGGAAGGGATGCTTTAGCAGCTCAGCCGCCGTGGCCCGCTGGGCAGGGTCCCGCACCAACAGGCGCTCCAGGAAGCCCTTCAAGGAGGGCGAGACCTATTGGGGGTGCAGGGGGAGGGTCAGGGGAACAGTAACTCAAGTAGGGAGTAGGCAGAGGAAAGGGCTGTCCAGAAGTTAGTCGGTGGAGAAAGAGAAATCTAGAGGGCCCCACCCAGGGGGCTCATTCTCTCCCCAGTGTGAAGGCCCCTGTCCCTGTCCCCAGCTATGCTGTCTGCATTCAGCCAGGTGGCCCTTGCACAGACCAGCTCTGGGGCAGGATGGGCTCAGGGACCCTGTGTGCTCCGCTCAGTCCCCAGCATGAACTGGTTGACAATAGCAGTTCCAGAGGCCAGGCGAGTCTGACCCACCCGCCCCCCGGCCAGGGGCCGACCTTGTGCAGGTTCTTAAGTCGAGGCGGCAGGTTGTCCCGGATCATCTTCATGGCTTTGAGGGGCGGCTCATTGAAGTAGGGAGGTTCCCCGTCCACCATCTCAATCACCATCACCCCTAGAGACCAGATGTCCACCTGAGGGGTGGGGAGAAGGGGGAACTGCAGAGTGACAGCCAGTGGGAGCCTTGATTCCATCTTTGCATCTTCATTTGGGGCTGAGGACATCCTTTCTCAGGCCCTCTCCCACAAAGCCATCTGAAGGGCATCTCTGGGGTTCTGCCCACTCAGTGGCCACCTGTTTTTTGCTGACCACACTGTGTTTCCTCAGTTGAAACTCGCCTCCCTTTCAGTCCTCAGAGTGGCTGCTGACCCAGGCTGATTTATGTATCAACAGCGGGCTGCATGTAGTTAACCCTGGGGTCCCTCTTCCCTCAACAGTCTTGGAGATGCTAAGGGTCACCTCTGTTCCCACAGAAGAACAGCTGCCCAAGTGAAGGTGACAGAGGGAAGAGCCTGGCCGAGGTGAGAGACAGAAAATACCCCTGGATGGCCAGGCCAGAGGCCAGCCCACCCCCAACACCACCGTTCCAAGGACAGCAGTGTTGAGGCTCAGAGCTGGGTTTCCCACCACACACATGCAGTCCTGCCAGAAACGCCCTTTCGGACTCACACAGCAGTCTCCTCCTAGCCCAGGGGTCTGCCATCAAGTGCTTCCCAGGAGGCCTTTTTCATGGTCAGGCAGTTGGTCACAGCCTGGTGGCTCAGAAGTGTCCCCCGGGCCATGGGTCACAGCAGCTCAAAGGCTCCAGGCCAGACAGACAACTGAAGTGAGTGAGCTGGCTGGCCAAAGACAACGGGGGGAATGGGGCCCAAAATGAGTGCCCTGACCCCTTAGTGTAGCCTGCTAATTGTAGCTGTGTGAAAATGTGGGTTTTCTGCCAGAAAATGGAAAGTCCAATTTTTATGAGAGCTCTCGCTTTACAATGCTTCCAAGAGCATCTTCAGGCCACACGAGCTGAGAGCCAGCCAGGCTATGGCCTCTGCAGCCACGTGGTACAGCACTCTGTCCCCAATGCCAAGCGAGGGGCCTGGCTCTGGACCAGAGCTCAAACAAGAAGAAACAAGCCGAGGGAATGCTTGCTGTCCTGTCTTCCAGTTCCATGAACCCCTTCACCTGATCCCACCTTCTGTGTCTGGACTGTCACCTTGAAGTCTGGCTTACCTCTGGCCCGTAGGGAAGGCGGGAGATGAGTTCCGGGGCCATCCAGTAGGGTGTGCCCACCAGAGACTTTCTCCGTGGCACCTCCTTGCTCACCTGGGCACAGAACCCGAAGTCTGACAGCTTCACCTGGACGGGGGCAAGGGGGAGGTAGCAGGGTCAGAGGGCCTGGGGTGAGGGGGAGGCGAGTCAGGTGCCTGCCTATATAGATGAGCTGTCTCTAGAGTCTCTTCCCCTACCCTCTGGGCTCCAGTGACACGAGCCAGCACTGCCTGCCATTGTCCCAAGGGCCGGGCCCTGTGCTCGACTGCCACCACCTGGTTTCTCTTTGGATCCTCCCCACCGGGTTGTGGCGCTGAGGGATAAAGCACTGGGCACCAAGGTCGCTTTGAACCACAAGGTTGGCGGTTCAAACTCACCAGCTGCTCCTTGGAAACCCTAGACAGGGTCACTATGAGTCAGAACCGACTCGACAGCAGTTAAAAACAACAACAACCAGTCTAGGAGATAGGGGCTGAGATTACCTAAAAGGAAACTGGACTCAGGCAGGGGAAGAGGAGGAGGGTGGTGGTTCTCATCCAGAGACAAGGGCAGGCCCCTTCCCCAGACACAGACCCCAGAAGCTCCACTGGGTCGCCTGTGGACTAATCTGTGGGGGAGGCCCTGGCACCTGGGAGCCACCAGCCACACAGAGGCTCTCAAGGGAAGTGGGCCAAGTCAAGCAGACTTTTGCCAAAGGACATGGTCTGGCTCCAAAACCCTTTATCTGGGCCTGTTGCCGAGAGAAAGCAACTCTTCCCGCCTCAGTCCTATGGGGACACAGCCCCACCCTGCGGGGGTTGAAGGGACACAGTCCCATCCTAGGGGTCTAAGTCCCTCCCTGGGAGGTCTGAGGGGACACAGCCTCACCCTGGGGTCCAAGGGGACACAATCCCTCCCTGGGGGGTCTGAGGGGATACAGCCCATGGCTCTGCTACTGCAACAGCCAAGTCTCCAGGTTCAAAGATGTGTATCAATTTTGGAGCCACAGGCCCCACTCAGACCTGTGAGGAGCTCTGTGGACTGACTCTCTCATACACACAGCGCACACAATTTGAGGAGGTCCAGAGATGACTCCCCCACACACATGTGCTGACACCCCTTGATTTTATGGACCTCAGAATGAGAGTTCCCCAAGTAACAGCCCTGGCTACCTCTGCCCTCTGGACTAGCAAATGTTTTTCCTATGGGTGGACCACCAACTTTTGAAAGAATCAGATGAAAACCAAGACCCTTGTCCACCCTAACCCACCTCCCCGACTGGTACAGACATGCACAGGTGGGTACTGTGAGGCTCATGCCCAAACTATGGGATGCAGGCCCAGGGGTGCTCAGCTAGGAATGGGTTCTTAGGGAAGGTGAGAAGCCTGTCTGTGAGAAGGTGGAGTCAGAGGCATGAGCTCGAGGCACAGGGATGGACTACATTTCCCAGCACACTATACTGATGCTGTGCCTGCCAGCCTGGGGGCTCCTGGACCCTGGTGATCTGGACACTTGCCGCTGAAACAAAGAAACTTCCTATTCCTTAAGGCTTAGTGGGTGAGAGTGCAGAGGAGGAACGTGGGAGAGGCTCAGGGTAGCCCCACTCCCCGGCCACCCTAGGGCTCACCCGGCCATCATGGGCCAGCAGGATAGAGTCACTCTTGATGTCTCGGTGGATGACGCCCTGGGCGTGAAGCACAGACAAGGCCTGTAGCACGGCGAGGCACACGGCAGCAATCTGCTCCTCGTTCATCCTGCATGGGATGGGTGAGCCGCTGGGACAGTCTGAGGGGGACACTGGCCTGCCTGCCCCTGGGGCCCAGCCTCCCAGCCAATACCTGGTGTGGGTGACGATGTCGGTGAGGGCACCTCCCTCCAGGAACTCCATCACCACCCAGAGCTCATCGCCCACCAGGTAGCTGTTGTACATCTCCACCACGTTCTCATGCTGATAGTCCCGCATGATCACCACCTGGGCGAGACCTGGGTCAGGGTTCCCTCCCACAGCCAGCTCAGGTGGCATTCTGGGATGGCTCCCCCCAGCCCCCAGCCCAATCCTGGGCTGGCCTCTGAGAGCCCTGAGGACACTGGGGTTGAAGGTAAAAGACGTGGTGCATGGGGGGGAGGGAGCGAGGACACCTCAGGGTTGTGTCCTTCTGGACTCCAGCAGAGGCCCTGGGCCTTCCCATATCCCACAATTCACCTCTAGAAGGGGCCCAAGATCAGTTACGTCACCAGTGGTGACAGGCCTCACCTCAAAGGTCAGGTGGGCCCAGGCACTGTGTCCTACAGGCCCCCAGGTACGTAGGCTGAGGGGGTACACAGTCAAATCCCCACTTTATAAAGACCCCTTTGGGGGACACCCATGAAGGGAGACTGGAGGAGTAAAAGGGTAGGGCTGCATGCTGCAGGCTGGGGTGGAGGTTGGGGAGCATTTAGGGCCTGGCCAGCAGTGTGTGCGGGGCTGAGAGGAGAAGTCTGGGGGAGACACTCAGAGGTGCATTTGGGACTCACTAGGTGTGAGGGGTTGAAAGTAACTCCGAGGACACTGGGTCTAGGGCTCAGGGATGGGGGCAGAGATGCAAACAGCATCAAATCTGAGGCAAGAACCGGTAGTGACGGACAGAGGAGGTCGACTGGGGAGGGTGTGAGGAGGGAAGTGAAGAGGTGGGGAAGCCCAGATGGCGGGACAAAGGTCAGGGAGGAGCACCTCATTGAAGAGCAGCTCGCGCCTCTGCTGCTTGCGCAGGTCCATCTTCTTGACAGCCACCAGCTTGCCGGAGCTGCGCACGGTGGCGATGCACACGATGCCCGTGGAGCCCTCGCCGATCTTGATGAAGTTGTCCAGGTAGGAGCGAGGGTCGCCGGGGTCCACCACCAGCTGTAGGGTGGCCCGGAACTGTTCATGGGATACGCGCTGGGGTTCACGCTGGGGGGAGCGGGGGCCAGGGGCGGTGGGGACAGTGGAGGGAGCAGGGATGGCAGGGGTACGGGCCAGGGGTGCCAGTTGGGGCTCGGAGGCATGGGGGCCCAGCACTCTGGGACTGGGGGTGCCTCGGACTTGGGCGGGGGGCCGAGAGGAGGATGACTGAGGGGCAGTCAGGCCCCCCGCAGATGGCCCATTGGGGGCCCTGCTGTGAGACTCCCCCTGGAAGAGAAGGGAGAGAGAGAGAGAGGTACGGTGAGGCTCTGAACAGGGTCTGGCTGGGGACAGACATGTGGTGTTGAGGATGAGATGGATGGTGGGGGGGGCACAGGCTGGAGCTGATGTGGGGGACACGGGAGGACTGTGGGAGTCCTGGGTGGGGAGATCAGTTACCTGGGCACCCCGGGACGGGTGGTCTGTGTCGGCCCACGGGTACGTGTTAAAGGGCCGGCCAGCTGCCAGTTTCGCCCCGCTGACATCGGGTCCCGAGAGGGGACGTTTGTCCCGGGAGGACTCCTGCGGTCCCCCTGGGCCCTCCCTGGAAGACTTGGGCCTCTTCTCTGGCCCCACCCGCCGCCTGTCACCACTGCTGCCACCCGCCTCGCTGCGACCAGTGGCCCGGCCGTGGCCGCCGGCCTTCTCGGGTCCCCCTCTGGCCGTGGCAGCCTGCTCCTCGGCCATCCCATTTTCCTGGCGGGCGTGGGTGGGGGGCGGCGGGCTGTCTCTCCGGAGGGAATTGGAGCGTGTCACCGACATGTTCTCAAACTCGTCGAGCAGCAGGGTGAGGGCCCCATCCTTGGCACCTTTACTGCCCCGTACGATGGTCTGGGGGGCGGGGGGCAGGAGCAGGCGGAGGGGGAGGAGGTAGGGTAGACAGTAGGGACATCCAACACAAAAGGACAGGACAGGACAACACAACACAGAGACAAGACAGAGACGAAATGAAGAAATGCCATGGGGTGACGATGGGGGGCAGGACCCCACAGAGAAACCAGTCTCAGCAGGGGGAGCGGATGATGTTCCCCAAGGGCGGGCTTGGCCCCAGGGCTGTGTGGCCCTGTCTTTCTCTGCTCCCCAGGCGGCAGGCAGGTCCTGCCCTGTGGGCTGGAGGAGGGAGAGAAGCCAGCCCAGCCCTTCATCAGCTCGGGAGAGATGCAAATTATAGGATTCCCCCGCCAGGACAGCGCCTGGCACTTCCTTCCCTGCCGGCCCATCAGGCCATTAACCCCAAAACCAGGGAGGCTGGGGGTGGGGCTACAAGGAGGGCCCAGATCCAAAGGAGAGGACAAGAGAGGGTCCCAGCATGAATGGTGGCAAAAGCAATGCCCACGGCAGCCAGCCAGAGCCCACTTCCATGCCATCCACTCCCCTGAACACCAAGTTACCATCTCCAGGGTTGTCCCTAATCCCTATGCCTATCAACCCTCACTCAGTTCCAGCCACCTGGGCCTCCTCTACCTCAGGGCCTTTGCACTAGCTGTTACCACAGTCTGGATCACTCTTTCCTAGTCCCCAGAGTTCCCTCTCTCTGGAAGCTTATCTCAGCGAGGTTTACTGACCAGCTGTAGTCTAATAAGGCTAGTCCCAGCCTGGTTTCCCAGAGCACCCTCTCAGAGCCCGCAGGCCCAGGGCATCTGTGCAGATCTCCCCACTGCCATGTTCTGAGGGCGGGCCTGTTCTGTCCCCTCTATACATCTCAGCACTTAGACCAGCACCTGGAATACAGGAGATGCTCAAGGAGTCCTGGTGTGGTGCTGGGGGTTAATGGGCTGGGCTGGAAAATTAGTTTGCCCCGAAAGGTCCTTGGAAGCCCTATATGGGGTCACTATGGGTGGGAACCTAAGTCGAGGGCACTCAACATCGACAACAAACAAGTGAGTAGAGAGGAGTGGGCTGGGCACAGGCTGTGTGGGTAGGACTAGAGTGGTTATGAGTCAGGTTGCTAACTCCAAGGTCAGCAGTCTGAAACTACCAGCTGTTCCAGGGAGAAAGACGAGGCTTTCTGCTCCTGGAAAGATTTACAGCCTTGGAACCCTCACACGGGGTCGCTATGAGTCAAGAGCCGACTCCGCAGCACACCACCACACAGGGACTGAATGGAACGTTAGGTAAATACAGGTTCCACCAAAGGTCCCTCCAACCACACTGGTCCCCATGTGGCCTATACCTGCCTCGGGCCTCTCCTAGGCCACTGGTCTCGCAGGGATCATAGTGAAAGGTCTCAAGCAAAACAGACAGACCTGTGATTAGACTCTGGTGTGAGAATTAGGGTTGCGAGCGCCAGGGGGTGGGAGTAGGGGGTGTCTGAGAGGACTGGGAAGATTTTGGGGTCAAGGTGCTTGCCCGAGGAGCCCCTTGATAGGAATTTAAAAAAGGGGTTCCTTCCTCGTGGTGGACATAGCTCTAGGAGGCACCTTACTTGTACATCAGCACACCCCAGCAGAGCAGCCAAGTGTGCTGGGGCTATGATAGGTTGGGTGGGGCCTACAGGACCAGAAAGCAGATCCCTCCCACCCCATAGGCCACCAGCCACAGCACATTTGCCAAGAGAAGCCAAAAGTGGAGATTTGGATGTGAGGTCTCTTGCCTTTTAAGCAGTGGCTAGGAATTCAAAGTCCTACTTACAGGGCAGACGGATATGTGGGGAAGGGGGGAGGGGAGAGGGGGAGGGGGGCTTCTGAGCCTGTGTCTCCTCCCTGCCAGGCTGGACAGGGCGGCCACTGGGAGAGATGAGTCAGCCAAGGGCCCACCCCTGGGCGTGGGGCCAGCAGACGGTCACACCCACCTCCACCCACTGAGGACAAACTTGCCTATGGTGCCCTCAGTCCGTGTGTGTGCGTGTGTGTGGGCCAGCAGACGGTCACACCCACCTCCACCCACTGAGGACAAACTTGCCTATGGTGCCCTCAGTCCTTCCTGGTTCTGACTGCCTCGGGGTAAAGTCCAGGCTCCCATGCTGGCTTTATGAGGACAGGCGTGGGTTCGCGGGCACAGTGCCCACCTCACCTCAGGCCATGCTTGGGCATCTGGCCACAACTCACATTTTCACAAAGAAGCAAGACAGGGGGGCAAAGTGTAGGGCTGGGTTTTGGAAAGAGACCCTGGTTCAAATCTCACCTCTGTTATTTTTTTCAAAGTTGGCATAATTAAATGTAAAACACCCCCCAAAACCCGAAACCCAGGGCTCTGCATGACTCAGTTTCTCAGTGAAACTCCTGCTCCCCACCACCACACACTGTTATGCTGCAATAGCCTGAGGACTTGGCTCAGGGGTCTCTGTACAAGCTCTCCTAAACGCCTAGATCCGGTCAGGGGACTCCCCTGGGACTCCCATCCTAATCAGACCATGTCTGGGGTCAGGCCTGTCTCCCCACTAGACTGGGGGCTTGTTGGAGGCTAGGAACATGTTAGCCCTCTGCCCCAACCTTAGCATGGGTCTGGGTGTATGGAGCAGGGTGCAGGGAGCGCAGGTCTGGAGAGGGTGCTGCTGGAGCTGTAAGGGCCCGAGGGGGCTGCAGCATGGGGGGGCGGGGAGGGGACGGACTGGTGTGGAGTGTGGCACAGTGAGGGTCCAGTAGGTGGAGGGATGGATGGGTTAAAGGTCGATGTTGGGGCCAAGACCAGGGGTGGAAGGTGTCACTGGTTGGGAGGAGGCTGGTGAGGAGGAGGAAGGGTCTGGTCAGCGCTGGGAGGAGCTGGCCTACCTTGGGGGCTCCAGGACGGATGGAAGTGATGCAGGCGGGGTCGATGAAGGGCTTGGGTCGGCGTGCAGACTCCTCAATCAGGCTCTGCCATTGGCAAGGGAGTCCGGTGAACTTCTGTTCTTGCTGGTCGAATCCCGTATGCACGCGGTGCTCAAAGTTGGATGGCGCCGAGATCTCTACCCGATGCTTCTTCTTCTTCCCAAACATGGTACCAGAGGCTGGGGCTCCTCCCAGGGGATCTGCAGGAGGGATCCACCACACTGGAGTCAGAATCCACAGTCTCACCCCTCCTCTGTCCTGTTCACCTTCACACCCCACTTCCTGGGCCAGCCCCCGGCTCTAGGCTGTGGGGCCCCTAGCACCTGCCTTGTGCAGAACCCTCACTCAGGAGAAACAAGAGTCCTCCTGTCACCTCTCTGCCTTGTCTCCCTGTCAGCCCCAGCCCACAGAGCCTTTGCATTGGCTGGCTGCTCCCTGGGCCTGGAACATTCTCCCTGCAGGTCCCCACAGAGCTCTGTCCTCCCTTGCACCCTTCAGCTCCTTTGCTGACCACCCCAAGTAAGACCTCCCACTGGCTTCTCCGTCATATCACCTTAACAGCACGTTTACAGACAACAGCTGCCGTGGAGTCACAATGACCCCAGATTGTACCAGAGGAGAACTGTGTTCCATAAAGCTTTCCAAAGCTGACTGGGGAAAGCAGGTCGCCAGACCTTTATTCTGAGGTGCCTCTGGGTGGACTCAACTCTCCAATCTCATAATTAGCAGTTCAGCGCATTAACTATTTGCACCACCCAGAGACTCCCATAAAACCCAAACCCAAACCATGGCCATCAAGTCAATTCTGGCTCACAGTGACCCTATAGAGGTTTTCCAAGACTGCCCACCTTTTCAGGAACACAGCCTTGTCTCCTCTGTAACTCCTGGACATTTACTTTCATTCCTGTGTCTGCTGCCGGCCTTGTGGCTTCCAAGTCCAATGCTTATCCTATGGAGCCACTGACCAGCACAGGGTCAATGCTAACAGCCAGTTTAAGAAGCAAAGGGGCCAGAAGGGAGATACATGCCCATGGGGCATCACACAGGGAGGCCAGATGGCCACAGCACTGATCTCTCTTTAACTGCATGTGACTTCACCGCTCTGTGCCTCCATCTCCCCAACTGTAAAATGGGGATGAGCCTTGTTATGCCCCACTAGGCTGCTGTGGTGATTGAGTTGCCAGGAGTAAGCGAGCAAAGAGCTTAGCTCAGGGCCGGGCAGCGAGGGGATACGCCATGCCAGTGTCTCCTACTGTGACGACTATGACCTCTTTTGGCAGAATCTAAGGGAGGAGGCCCTGCCCCAGATGGCCTGCATAATAACCATAAGGTCATTCACACAGACCTGGTTTGATGCTGGATCTGCTAAACGCGCCCTTGGGCAGGTGACAACTCCTCTGTGGGCTTCGGCTTTCTCATCTGTAAAATGGGAAGAAAACCACCAAATGGTCACTCCTCATCTATTTAGTGTGAGGACTTACCGGTGGGTCCCCTGTGTGCCCCTCATGCCAGTGGAGGAGCCAGACCTGGCCCCAGAGCAGGGGGCTTGAGGAGCCCTGAGGGGGACCAGGTGTGGCCTGGGGAGAGGGCAGGAGCCGAGGTTGTTTCACAGAAGAGGGGACGCCGTGTAAGGTGGGCTGTGTCTATTCTTGGCCTGCTCCTCTGCGTGGGTCCTGAGAGACCCACTCCCAGGTGTGTCTGGGGACACAGCCCAACCTTCCTCGTGCCCCCTGACCCTCAGCCCTTCCAGCCCCCAGCTCTCTTCCCTGGAAGAACAGTTGTGTGAGGTGGCAGCGCCAATGATGGGTACACCCGGCTGAACTGGTTTGGCAGTGGGAGCCCAGTGGGAGGTGGGCAGGGACACAGCAACCAACCTGTCTAGACTGGTCTGGGCCTCGTGGCCAGTGGGTGACCAGAGCCAAGCCTGGCCCAGTTTCCCTATCTGCTTGGGACCTGGCCTCCCACACCTGGGATGGGACAGCCTCTGCCCCCACCCCTTCAAGCCAGAGCCCCTTTGTGTCGTGCCCCAACTCCACAGCCCTGAACAGTGCCCCTCCCTGAGAGCTCTGTCCTCAGCTCACCAGCTGGACACCCTGTTCTTCATCTTTCTAGTTCTAGGCTTGTCCATATACACTGGGACCACCCCCATTTCCATCCTCCCCTGCTGTCACCCTCTATGTGTCCCATGGTCTCTCACCTCCTCAGTCTTCCCAGATGTCTCCCCAACCTCACCCCTAACCCCTGAGTCTTGTTCCTCACCTTGGCCTCCCTCTCTCATGGCCATCTGTGGCCTCTAGTCCACTAGGAATACGGGGGGAGGGGTCACTGGTCAGCTCCCATGGCCCTTTCCACACAATCTTTTGTTACACCCCAAGACGGGGTGTGTGTGTGTTGGGGGGGGGAGCTCATGATCAGTGCTGGAGGCAGCCAAACTCAGTAGTAATGGGATGGGGGCTGTCACATGAAATCTGTGCAATCCTGCCCGCCCCCCCAGTTCCTAAGCCCCTCTACACACTGTAGCTGGCACCGCCCCTTAGCTGTGACCCTGTGGGGGAGGTGGGCAGGCTCCCCCGGATATTCACCCGGGGCACAGCTTCCCTCTGGGCACCGCATGGAGGGCAGGACAAACAGAGGAACTGACCCTGTTTATAATGACCAGGCGGGAGCCCCACCCGGAGCTCTAGACCTGGGGCACACTAGCCTGGTGGTAGGGGGAGGGGAGGCTACACAAAGGACGGAGCCTGAAGGTGTGTGTTTGTGAGTGTGAGTGTGTGCGTGTGTGTGCGTGTGTGTGCGTGTGTGTGTGTGTGTGTGTGTGTGTGTGTAAGAGCTGGTGCAGGCCTGCCCAAGTGAACTCAGAACCTAAGAGGCTGCGAGGCCAATGGGACCTCGTTTTCTGTGTCTAGGAAATGGGAATGATCCAACCTAGTCTGGGAGCTCTGACTGCAGCTCTGTGCTTCCCTCCCTCCTCTCTTGAACGAGGTGATGGGGCCCCGCTTCAGAGAGAACAGACAGCCAGCTGGCCTGGCCCAGACACACACAGCAGGACTGAATGTCAACAGTGAGTGCTCAACACTCGCTGACACCTACTATGTCCTGGTCTAAGCTCTTCCAGATGTGCTTGTAGAACGTGCACCCTTAACCCAAGAGGTCCTGGTGTGGCGCTGTAGGATCAGCGCCGGATTACGAACCACAAGGTTGGCAGTTCAAACCCACCAGCTGCTCCTTGGAAACACTATAGGGCTGCTAGGAGTTGGAATCGACTTGACAGCACTTAACAACAACCCAACAGGCCCTGTTCTCCCCCAGTGCACCCCTCACTCACTCTGCCCCAGCCTTGTGGGGCCCCTAGCTGGCCTTCACAGCCAGAGCACATTCCCACGAGAGCCTTAGCTCTATCCCTGGCTCCCCCTGCCCTCCCTCCCTAGCGCCTCACCGGTTCCACACTCCAATGCTACCTTCTATGGCCCTCTCCTGCTGGATTGTTCGTCATTGCTCTTTGCTGCTGTCAGCTGCTAGAGCCGATCCAACTCCCATGTATGTGTGTGTGTGTGCGTGTGTCTGCCCAGAACTGCGCTCTAGAGGCTTCTCAACACTGTGACCTTTCAGAAGCAGGTTACTAGGCCTTTTTCCACGGTACCTGAGTGGGTTTGAAAGGCCAACCATTCAGTTGGTAATCAAATGATGACCCACTTGTGCTGTCCAGGGACGCTGCACTATACCTACCACAAGTACACACACAGATTTAGGTTGTTGTTGTGAAGTGCCATCAAGTGGGTTCCGACTCACAGTGACCCTGTATAAGCTTTCCGAGGAGCAACTGGTGGATTTGAACCACTGACCCTATGGTTCAAACCAACCTTGCAGCCCAGTGCATGATCCTGAAGCACCACACCAGGACTCCCTAAAAAACCTAAACTCACTGCCATTTGATTGGATTCTGTATAGGGTTTCTGAGGCTGTAAATCTTTACTGGAGCCAACAGCCTCATCTTTCTCCCTTTCTTCCAGCTGCTGGGTTTGGATCTGACAACCTTGTGATTAACAGTCCAGTGCTTATCTACAGCGCCACCAGCATTCCTACACACACACACACAAATACACACACTCATGAGGGGGATTTTAAAAACTCATGGAAAAATGGAATGAAAAGATGACGGCATTTTTCCATAACTTGCAGAGCATGTGTGTGCTTACTTCTTCAGTGCTGTGCCTCCCCGCTTACTAGAATGCCAGCTCCACAAGGGCCAAGATTGTCACCTGCCTCCCTCCCAGCGGCATCTGGTGCCCACAAACTGCCTGGCCTGCAGTGGGCTCTCAGAAATGGGCGGTGAGTGGACGGACCCAGGTGCATCCACTGAGCTCCATCCCTGCTCAGGCATCGCCTCTCTGTCAGGTAGCACCTGTGACATGTCTCCTGAGAAAGGCCTGGGACCCAGGTGCAGAGGGCAGAGCAGTGACCCCAGACACACAGACTGGACGTGGCAGATGGTGGGTACAGGCCGCCATTGAAGTCCAGTGTTTGGTCCTAGAAATGCTGGCCCATCGAAAATGCTTGTGTCCATTCAAAAAAAAAAAATTAAAATCCTTGAACTCCTCTAACGTGTGGAACGGATAGTTGTGGCCTGTCCAACACGAAAGCTCCAAATTCTCCCATCAGCCCATCAGCCCTGTACACACATCTCACTCTGTCTTTCCATCACCCTGCCCATCCACCTGCCCCCTCCCACCGCCACCGCCCCCGCCACCATAGTGGAAAGCAAGATCTGCTCGGCACATGTGATAAAGCTGCTGGGACACGGGTGTGAGGCACAACCCCAAATATCCCCCTACCCCCACCCCTCAGCCCTCAATTCTGAAGAAAGCTGTGCCTAGAGTGGGCAGTTGGCCCAGTGGGAACCCAGGGGCCTTGTGGAGGAGCAGGGGATATGGCCAGGGTCAGCAGCCACTCTTTCATGTCCTTAAAGTGAGACCACAGTCAGGAAGGGGAGCTGTGGTTACTGTCCCCAGCCTGCTCCTAGGGTCTCTACCACTGGTCATAGCAAGATCTTTAGCAACCAGCTCTAAGAAGCTCCCTTCTTGTCTCAGTTTACCTCCTACCCTCCCACGTGGTACCCAGGTGACAGACGGAAGACTGTGGCTCACCTTTCTAGAGTATGGCCCATCAGT